TGACCAATCTGGATACATTTGATATTTTCAATAATTATATTTTTGTTAGTTATTAAATCACATTATATTCATTAACAAATAAATATAAATTTTCATAATATTATAATTATGTATTAATGATAATTAAATCTAAATTAAGTTGTTGTTCGTACAACTTTATTCAAAATCTTAAATTGGATAATATTATCATTTGAGTACAAAATATAAAATTGTTTTTTCTCTAAACATTGAATAGATTAGTTGAGAAGAGAGCAGGCCTTGGCGTGTGTTGGTGCTTGTAAGAACTCAATATTACATAAGAAAATAATAAGGAGTTTGGAAATTTAAAAGAGTAAATCTTATTTATTTTTAATTGGGGCTCAATAGGTTACACGTTTAGTTAGGTCGTCGGAATAAAAATGCTAATCTAACTGTCAAATAGAGAATCTAATATCTTAAGATAGAAAGCAGAAAGCCCCACATTGCCCTAGATTTCGATGTGAATAAATACATATCCTCTTCAACCTTAAGGGAAAGACCCTGTTTTATACTCCAAGGAGGCGGTGTAGCCAACGTCTCCTCCCTTTTTAGAGAAAGGTAATTTTCCTTCAAAAAAATGGAATGTTCATTTCTTTTAAAATCTAATGTTAAAGAAAAAGAGTAAAAAAAATAATAAGTGACATATGATTTTATAATATTATATAAAATTTACTTGAGTGATTTAAATTTTGTTTATGTTTACTGAATGAAAAGGAATTGTTTACAGAAGAGAAAAAAGCATTGAACCTTCTTTATTTGTATTTGTTTAGTGAAAGAGAATTCGATAGAGATTATAAAAAAAGTAAAAAGTGATACATGTCAGTTTTTAATATGACAGCATATCAGAGTTGTTTCTTTAAAAAAAATTACCATATTATATAAGGGAGAATTAGTTTTGATCATATTAGGGAATTCAAGCTACCACCATTCCGAGCAAGTACACGAAAATGATCGGGAAAAAAATCCTAAAGAGCAGAATCCAGATTGTGATAGTGGAGGCGATTTAAGGTTCAAAGAAGTATGAGAGAAAAGAGTGAGCCATTAATCTAAAATATTTTACGAAAGCAAACAGTGCATGATTTTCTATTCGATTAGCTATAAAAAAATATAACAAAATAAATCTATTTTTTGTGCAAAAACAATATCACAGCCAGCTCTTAAAAGTTAAAAAAAATAGTTCTAAATAATGTAAAGTAAGAGACATAATGAAAGAAAATCATATTGAAAAGAAAAAAAAAATAAGCTATATGTTTGTTCGATTACCGAGAATTTAGTAGAGATAAGAGAAAAAAAAGTGACACGTGACCTTACTATATTAAATAAGATTTGTTTGAGTGAAACATGTAAGTTCTTATTAGTGAAACTTGAAATTTCAAATTTGAAAGTTATATATAACTGTAAGACTTTATAATTTGGTTTTCTTTTAAATGTTTATAGACTAACCACAAAAAATATTATTTTAGATACAATATTCGTGTAGTATAGAATATGTTTATATCTTTTAATTATTTTATTTCGATTTGTATGCTGTATAAAGGAGTAAAACTTATGATGTGTTGAATTTAAGGGAGTTAGACTATAGTTAAGTAAAGTTTGGATATAATTTGTAGTGGCTTAGATTTAGTTTAAAATGATTTGGTTATTTTATATATTTAATAACTTTGGTTTATATTTGGAGGTTTGGATATAGTAAAGAGTTAGGGTATAGTTAAACAGGGTTTGGATATAGTTTGTAGCGTCTCGGGTTTAATTTCAAATGATTTGGTTATTATATATGTAATAACTTTGGATTATGTTTAGAGGTTTGGAAATAGTAAATAGTGCTTTGGGTTTAGTTTTAATATATATATATATATATATATATATTTATTATCAGAGATTTGTTGCGTATTAAGGCGTACGATTGGGTAATATCGTATGAGAACTCTAAACCCTAAATCCCTAAATACCTGATTTTTTTTCTTCTTCCTTTTTCCCTCTCATTCTTTTTACACAATTTTTTTTCTTTTCATAAATTTTTACTATTTTTTACAAGAAAAATAATATAGAACAGATTACAAAATCGTATAGATTGTATGTTACTGTAAAATAATAATATGAATTTTTTTATTATCTTTCTTCCCTCTCTCACTCTTCCTAACAAATAAATAGTCAACAAGGATATTTTCCTCCAAAATTATACGTTTTAGAGTTTTTGATTAGTTTTTTTATTTTTAATTCCTTATAACTATATCATTAATTTTTAACACCAATATGGTTAATGAGCAAATTAACTTCTTACGTAGACTCCCATAGATAAAATCGTAACAGTGGCGAACATTTTTGTTTACTCATAAATGATTGAGCTGTAATTTCACTACCTCTTTAGGTTAGTTTTTCAAACATTCAATAAATGGTCCAAACTTCTTAAAAAAAACTAATTTTTAGGTTATTTTCAGCAATTCCCACTTCAGTTGTTCCTGTGTTGATCCATGGGTATATGAACCAAATGTAATCATGGATTTAGCTTGATTTAGTTTTTTGGCATTAACATTGGTCGTGAATTTTGAACACACCCGGAATTGCAGAATAATTTTTTAACATTTGCTTTGAAGAAAAAGAGAGAGCTATCGGTAAAAAGAAGATGTGCGATGCTTGGAACACCGTTTGCAACTTTTATGCCATTGATTTTGTTTAACATATATCTACAAGAGATGACTCATAACGTCAGCAAAGAAAATAAAGAGATAAGGAGAAAGAGGATTCTCCTGTCTCAAGCCTCATTCATGCAGGAAATTTCCTTATGGGTTCCATTTATAAGAACAGAGTAGGAGACAGTTCTAACGGTCGCCATCATCCATTTTATCCACTGAGAACAAAAGCTAAATGCGGACATAATATTTTTCAAAAAATCTCATTATACACGATCATATGCCTTAATCATCATATCAGTTTTAATTGCTATATAAGTTTGAGAAAAACATGTTTGCGACTTTTCAATAAGTGTATAAGTTGATGGGCTAACAAATGCGTTGTCAAAGATTATGCGACCTGGTGACAAATGCAGCTTGGAATTCCGAAACAATATTATTTACAAACTTAAGTCTTGTAACGAGAGTCTTAGAAATTATCTTGTAGAACATATTACATAATGCGATAGACTTATAATTAGAGAGAGTTATCGAAGACTTTATTCTTTGGAATCATACAGATGTTTGTGTGATTGTAGTTCCTTTTCATATGTGCAGTGTCGAAGAAACCTAGGACCTCTGAAAAGACATCATTACCCATAATATTCCAACATTTTTGAAAGAATTGAGCAGTTAGTGTATCCGGATTAGAGACCTTTTCAGTATTTATAGCACAAACAGCCTCAAAAAATTAATTAGCAGTAATGTCTCTTGTAAGTGATTGGTTAATCTCAGAAGTGACTTTTACTGGTTATCAATATAATTTCAAATTATGTTAAGTTAATTATCTAATAACATATATATATATAAAATTTTATTTAAAGAAAATACTCCAAAATGACCTAAAATAATAAAATAATATGAAATGGGTATCCTATTGACGGAAAAATGTGAAAATGACTCCTTTTATGATTTTTATAATTACCAGCGCTATCTTTCTAATTACCGTTATCTGTAAACTACTGGCAAATTAACTGTATACTGAATGCACACTACTCGCACACTGTTTGGTCAAAATAATTGAATGTAGATTACTGACAAACTAATGCTAGACTAATTACAAATTACTGGCAGACTAACAACAGCTTGAAAGCAAGCTAGTGAATCTCTCTTATGGATCATTTTAGAAAGGATCATGTTTCATAATAAAATTGTCAAGTGGGTTATTTCAAAAATTATCTTTTTTTAATATAATAATTATATTAACATTACAATTTTATTATTATATTATAATTAGTTTGACTTAATACTTTTACAATATTTTAATACATTAATCAGATAAACAGTATTATCGGAAGGTTGTAAATAATATTGCCGAGACGAATATACGTACACAACAAAGTTTTCAGGCTAATTGCAACTTATTTAATTAACTGGTCAATTGTGTATATGATTAAATTTATCTTTTAAATACTTACCTATTCAAGATCATTTATTCTATTCAAATGAATAGAATAAAAGTACCAAAAAACAGATATGTTTAAAATAAATTATCAGTTTAACATTTAAAAAGGTTAAAAATTATATTAAATTTCTTTTCAAAAAAAAAAAATCAAAATATCCATTCCAAAATTTACAACCAATTTTCCTAAACCGTTCCATTATCTAAGCGGCAACAAGAAGCCAGACGTGTATAAACTAGTCTCATTGAAATTGGAGAAGATGACTAGTACTGATATTGATGGCTTGACAATCTTTGTTAGCTTATATAACTTTGAGTTGGCAAGTAATCTCCCATGGATGAGGAACAATGTCTATTTCTCAAGGCTTAGTAACAAACGCAAGCGTTGTGTCTCCTACTCGTTTGGTGAAAGCAGGTACAATGGCCGTGAAGATCAAGAACTTTGTCCTCCTCAGAGCATCTGAAATCTATCCGCCCAAGAACGTTAAAAACTGTTTGTAAGAGGCATCTTTTGCATGAAAGTTGATTGTTTTATCTTTTCAAATAGACAAGAAAACATATAATCTTCAATATGAGATTCCTTCACTACTGTGTTTCCATGGAAAGCTTAGCATAAAAAATGTTTTATTTATCCTTCAGATTTCATAAGAATGACATAAGATTTAGTTATCCTTCAAGGTTTCATAAGAGCACTTGTGACATCGAAGTCCTCAGTTAATACTTGTGACTTCAGTTTTTCAGTTATATTGCATTTTATTGATAAAATTGAAATTACACCATACCGAAGTATAGTATTTGTATTAATAAAACTGAAGCAAACAACAACATCAAATTAAGAACAACTCAAACTGAAGCAAACAACAACATCAAATTAAAAGACTGGTGAATATTCAATTACAAATAATAGCCTAAAGCGGCGGGAAGACGGCGCGACAAACCGGACAAATCCCACTGCTCCTAAGCCACTCCTCTCCACAGTTGCGATGAAACACGTGCGAACACGGCATTCGAGCCGCCGCCACACCCGACTCAGCCCGGATCGTATCCATACAAATCACACAAACGCCTTCATCATTCCCAACAACCACCGCTTCAAAGTGTAACTCCACCGCCTCATCACTTGCCGGAGCCACCGCAAGATTCACATCCGCGTCGTTGACATCAACACCGGGAAATCTCGGGACGAAAACATCAGTCTCCACTCTTACCCTAGCAACCTTACGTGAATCAAAAAAATTTGGAATGAGATATTTGCATTAAAATAAAATAAATTAGATAACAAACTCATTTTAGTTACAAAAACAAAAAAACAAAAAAACCTTAGGTGAATCAGACATGGCCTCGCGTTGCTTCAGATCCAAGATACCTTCAGTAAATCCATCAACTATACTCCGGTGAAAGGGGACGTCGAGAATCTCGAGGATCTGATGTACAATGGCTTGTATCTGATCCCTGTCGCCACCGATTAGCCAATCTCTATTGAACTCATGACTTATATCTTCGATTCGTGTTACCCAATTGTTGATATAATCAAGATCCATGTAGTCGTCTACATGAAAAACTAAATTTGGATTAAGGACTCTGTAAACCGAATGGAAATCGAACACAATGTTCATGTTATTGTGTTGGTCATCGCTGTAGACTGGGTTGAAGGAGAACATAGAGAAGTGTTCGTAATCCAAAACCATTATTTGTTGTAAAAAAGATTGATGGATATGAAAATTTAGTTTGGTGTTTAAGAACTTGAGAGAGAGTGAAAGAGAACGAGTTAATTGTCGGAAAGGGTGTGTCTATAATTATATTTATATTTGGTTTTTTTTTTGTTGGGGGTCAAATATTAGGTTTCTACTTTCTTTTTCGTTGACTATAAGCAAACTCTGAAGTCAAGCAGTAACTATTTCTTTTTAATAAAATTAATAAATAAGGTTTCAACTTTTATATTTTGGTCAAACAAATCATCAACTTTCTAATAAACATATTTTAACAATTAAGTAAATTTATTATATTTACAAAATAAATAGAATATCATTTGTGAAGTTTTGAGAAAATTGAATATGAATTATGTGCTTTTATTTCATTATAATTTGAACTTTTGATGGTTATTACAATTTATTAGGACTTCTTTATTATGTTACCGCAAACATAAGATTTGACCAATCTGGATACATTTGATATTTTCAATAATTATATTTTTGTTAGTTATTAAATCACATTATATTCATTAACAAATAAATATAAATTTTCATAATATTATAATTATGTATTAATGATAATTAAATCTAAATTAAGTTGTTGTTCGTACAACTTTATTCAAAATCTTAAATTCGATAATATTATCATTTGAGTACAAAATATAAAATTGTTTTTTCTCTAAACATTGAATAGATTAGTTGAGAAGAGAGCAGGCCTTGGCGTGTGTTGGTGCTTGTAAGAACTCAATATTACATAAGAAAATAATAAGGAGTTTGGAAATTTAAAAGAGTAAATCTTATTTATTTTTAATTGGAGCTCAATAGGTTACACGTTTAGTTAGGTCGTCGGAATGAAAATGCTAATCTAACTGTCAAATAGAGAATCTAATATCTTAAGATAGAAAGCAGAAAGCCTCACGTTGCCCTAGATTTCGATGTGAATAAATACATATCCTCTTCAACCTTAAGGGAAAGACCCTGTTTTATACTCCAAGGAGGCGGTGTAGCCAACTTCTCCTCCCTTTTTGGAGAAAGGTAATTTTCCTTCAAAAAAATGGAATGTTCATTTCTTTTTAAAATCTAATGTTAAAGAAAAAGAGTAAAAAAAATAATAAGTGACATATGATTTTATAATATTATATAAAATTTACTTGAGTGATTTAAATTTTGTTTATGTTTACTGAATGAAAAGGAATTGTTTGCAGAAGAGAAAAAAGCATTGAACCTTCTTTATTTGTATTTGTTTAGTGAAAGAGAATTCGATAGAGATTATAAAAAAAGTAAAAAGTGATACATGTCAGTTTTTAATATGACAGCATATCAGAGTTGTTTCTTTAAAAAAAATTACCATATTATATAAGGGAGAATTAGTTTTGATCATATTAGGGAATTCAAGCTACCACCATTCCGAGCAAGTACACGAAAATGATCGGAAAAAAAAATCCTAAAGAGCAAAATCCAGATTATGATAGTGGAGGCGATTTAAGGTTCAATGAAGTATGAGAGAAAAGAGTGAGCCATTAATCTAAAATATTTTACGAAAGCAAACAGTGCATGATTTTCTATTCGATTAGCTATAAAAAATATAACAAAATAAATCTATTTTTTGTGCAAAAACAATATCACAGCCAGCTCTTAAAATTTAAAAAAAATAGTTCTAAATAATGTAAAGTAAGAGACATAATGAAAGAAAAATCATATTGAAAAGAAAAAAAAATAAGCTATATGTTTGTTCGATTACCGAGAATTTAGTAGAGATAAGAGAAAAAAAAGTGACACGTGACCTTACTATATTAAATAAGATTTGTTTGAGTGAAACATGTAAGTTCTTATTAGTGAAACTTGGAATTTCAAATTTGAAAGTTATATATAATTGTAAGACTTTATAATTTGGTTTTCTTTTAAATGTTTATAGACTAACCACAAAAAATATTATTTTAGATACAATATTTGTGTAGTATAGAATATGTTTATATCTTTTAATTATTTCTATTTCGATTTGTATGCTGTATAAGGGAGTAAAACTTATGATGTGTTGAATTTAAGGGAGTTAGACTATAGTTAAGTAAAGTTTGGGTATAATTTGTAGTGGCTTAGATTTAGTTTAAAATGATTTGGTTATTTTATATATTTAATAACTTTGGTTTATATTTAGAGGTTTGGATATAGTAAAGAGTTAGGGTATAGTTAAACAGGGTTTGGATATAGTTTGTAGCGTCTCGGGTTTAATTTCAAATGATTTGGTTATTATATATGTAATAACTTTGGATTATGTTTAGAGGTTTGGAAATAGTAAATAGTGCTTTGGGTTTAGTTTTAATATATATATATATATATATATATTATCAGAGATTTGTTGCGTATTAAGGCGTCAATTGGGTAACATCGTATGAGAATTCTAAACCCTAAATCCCTAAATACCTGATTTTTTTTTCTTCTTCCTTTTTCCCTCTCATTCTTTTTACACAATTTTTTTTCTTTTCATAAATTTTTACTATTTTTTACAAGAAAAATAGTATAGAACAGATTACAAAATCGTATAGATAGTATGTTACTGTAAAATAATAATATGAATTTTTTTATTATCTTTCTTCCCGCTCTCTCTCTCTTCCTAACAAATAAATAGTCAACAAGGATATTTTCCTCCAAAATTATACGTTTTAGAGTTTTTGATTAGTTTTTTATTTTTAATTCCTTATAACTATATCATTAATTTTTAACACCAATATGGTTAATGAGCAAATTAACTTCTTACGTAGACTTCCCATAGATAAAATCGTAACAGTGGCGAACGTTTTTGTTTACTCATAAATGATTGAGCTGTAATTTCACTACCTCTTTAGGTTAGTTTTTCAAACATTCAATAAATGGTCCAAACTTCTTAAAAAAACTAATTTTTAGGTTATTTTCAGCAATTCCCACTTCAGTTGTTCCTGTGTTGATCCATGGGTATATGAACCAAATGTAATCATGGATTTAGCTTGATTTAGTTTTTTGGCATTAACATTGGTCGTAAATTTTGAACACACCCGGAATTGCAGAATAATTTTTTAACATTTGCTTTGAAGAAAAAGAGAGAGCTATCGGTAAAAAGAAGATGTGCGATGCTTGGAACACCTTTTGCAACTTTTATGCCATTGATTTTGTTTAACATATATCTACAAGAGATGACTCATAACGTCAGCAAAGAAAATAAAGAGATAAGGAGAAAGAGGATTCTCCTGTCTCAAGCCTCATTCATGCAGGAAATTTCCTTATGGGTTCCATTTATAAGAACAGAGTAGGAGACAGTTCTAACGGTCGCCATCATCCATTTTATCCACTTAGAACAAAAGCTAAATGCGGACATAATATTTTTCAAAAAATCTCATTATACACGATCATATGCCTTAATCATCATATCAGTTTTAATTGCTATATAAGTTTGAGAAACATGTTTGCGACTTTTCATTAAGTGTATAAGTTGATGGGCTAACAAATGCGTTGTCAAAGATTATGCGACCTGGTGACAAATGCAGCTTGGAATTCCGAAACAATATTATTTACAAACTTAAGTCTTGTAACGAGAGTCTTAGAAATTATCTTGTAGAACATATTACATAATGCGATAGACTTATAATTAGAGAGAGTTATTGAAGACTTTATTCTTTGGAATCATACAGATGTTTGTGTGATTGTAGTTCCTTTTCATATGTGCAGTGTCGAAGAAACCTAGGACCTCTGAAAAGACATCATTACCCATAATATTCCAACATTTTTGAAAGAATCGAGCAGTTAGTGTATCCGGATTAGAGACCTTTTCAGTATTTATAGCACAAACAGCCTCAAAAAATTAATTAGCAGTAATGTCTCTTGTAAGTGATTGGTTAATCTCAGAAGTGACTTTTACTGGTTATCAATATAATTTCAAATTATGTTAAGTTAATTATCTAATAACATATATATATATATATATAAAATTTTATTTAAAGAAAATACTCCAAAATGACCTAAAATAATAAAATAATATGAAATGGGTATCCTATTGACGGAAAATTGTGAAAATGACTCCTTTTATGATTTTTATAATTACCAGCGCTATCTTTCTAATTACTGTTATCTGTAAACTACTGGCAAATTAACTGTATACTGAATGCAGACTACTCGCACACTGTTTGGTCAAAATAATTGAATGTAGACTAATTACAAATTACTGGCAGACTAACAACAGCTTGAAAGCAAGCTAGTGAATCTCTCTTATGGATCATTTTAGAAAGGATCATGTTTCATAATAAAATTGTCAAGTGGATTATTTCAAAAATTATCTTTTTTTTAATATAATAATTATATTAACATTACAATTTTATTATTATATTATAATTTGTTTGACTTAATACTTTTACAATATTTTAACTGGTCAATTGTGTATATGATTAAATTTATCTTTTAAATACTTACCTATTCAAGATTATTTATTTTATTCAAATGAATAGAATAAAAGTACCAAAAAACAGATATGTTTAAAATAAATTATCAGTTTAACATTTAAAAAGGTTAAAAATTATATTAAATTTCTTTTCAAAAAAAAATCAAAATATCCATTCAAAAATTTACAACCAATTTTCCTAAACCGTTCCATTATCTAAGCGGCAACAAGAAGCCAGACGTGTATAAACTAGTCTCATTGAAATTGGAGAAGATGAGTAGTACTGTTATTGATGGCTTGACAATCTTTGTTAGCTTATATAACTTTGAGTTGGCAAGTAATCTCCCATGGATGAGGAACAATGTCTATTTCTCAAGGCTTAGTAACAAACGCAAGCGTTGTGTCTCCTACTCGTTTGGTGAAAGCAGGTACAATGGCCGTGAAGATCAAGAACTTTGTCCTCCTCAGAGCATCTGAAATCTATCCGCCCAAGAACGTTAAAAACTGTTTGTGAGAGGCATCTTTTGCATGAAAGTTGATTGTTTT